GACCCACAACCACAGGCTGCGGCAGTGAGGGGGTGCTTGACCTGAGGCTTACAAGGGGAACCCAAGGTTTACAGACAGTAGCACCCTATGGATGAGAAAAAGAAGCTTTATTTCCAAGGAAACTGGACACTCAAGAAAAAAAATTTAAAAAATCATGACGTGTGCCGGGCAGGGATTTTTCTAAGGACAACAATTGCCACGTGCTCGAGGGTGAAAGGCTCAAAGCCTTCATCTAAGCTTCCTCCTCCATGCAGTCGCCCACAGCTCCCACTATCAGCAGCACTGCCAAGTTCTAGGCTGTGGCACTGAAGTAATTATCAAAATATTTAGGCCATGGAGAGCTATCCCTCTCCCCTGCCACACCAATACAGTCATGGCCTGGCAGAGCACAGGACTTCAGCACGGATGGAGCATCACACGTTTCTGTGAGTTTAAACTGAACATCAAGCTTAAAGTTCAACCAGGTTTAATGTTGTTGGGCCACTGCTCTCTAAGTAAAGGAGTAGTGCCTTTCTGTTCCTCTTCTCTCCCCAGCTAAAATATTTTAAGAAAACCCCTCAGTTATTCTAAGGGACAAGACCATGATTTGAGTCTACTGTTGGGTTTTGGGTTTTTTGATCTTTGGGGTTTTTTTGTGGCCAATCTGTTTAAACTCCCCCCTCCTTTTTTTTCCTTCCTCGTTTCTTTTTTTTGAAAGTTAACTCAGCAGATTAACATCTCTCTGTGACACCCTTTCCAGGAATTACAAGTTAAATCATAGAATCACAGAATGGTTTGGGTTAGAAGGGACCTTAAAGGTCATCTAGTTCCTACCTCCTGCTATGGGCAGAGAAATCTCCCACTAGATGAGGTTGCTCAGAGCCGCGTCCAACCTGGCCTTGCACACTTCCAGGGATGGGGCAGCCACAGCTTCTCTGGGTAACCTGTGCCAGGGCCTCACCACCTTCACAGGGAAGAATTTCTTCTGTATATATAAATCTAAACCTACTCCCTCATGAATCAAACAGACCAGAGCTGAACCTGAGTCACTTGAGCCAACCCACACAAAAACAGAGCAGTGCAGGTTGGGGTGACAAGCAGAGTGGTCTGCAAGTGACAGGGACACTCTTGTGCCTCCGTTGCTGTGACAGCCAGGCTTCTAAGGCAGCTGCACAACATCCAACAATTAGTCTTTTATTACCCAAATTTCAAAACAACATTTCTAGCCCGTAGCATGTACAGCACTAATACTACCACAACAGATCAGACAACCCAAATTCAGCTTTTTAAGCGTATCTTAGAGAAGAAAGGAGAACAACAACAGAAAAGACACGCTTGTGACTCGCTGTGGCCCGGGGCTCAGCAGGATCTCTCGGGAGCTGTTTGAAGGCAAGTTTAAGTGAACAAACCCCTTTTCCACGGTGCTGGGGGCTGTGGGCAGCCTGTCCCCACCCTGTGAAGGGGAAAGCCTTATCGGGGAGCCAATGTCCCCATCAGCATGTGCTGCTGAGGGGAGATAGTGCTTCACAAGAGGCCTGAGAGCAGCAAAACAATCCCACCACGAGAAAGGCAACGAATCCCTGGGCTTCCTCCAGCAGAGCACAGGCAAGATCCTGTCCATCCCCTGCCAACTCGTGAGTTCTCAATGCCCAGAAGAGCCTTCATGCATCAATTCCTGCTGACACTAATGCAACTACCTGCTACAGTAAATCCTGCAGTTAATGGGTTTTGCAGGACTGAGATGTGATTCAGTGGCTCCAAGCGCTCGCCCACTGCAGCCGGCACTGCTGCCTTTGCCTGAGCGCCTGCACAGCCCCCAGAGCAGCTCACAGGAGTGCCACTGCACTCACAAACAGATGTCAACTCTGAACCAATTAAGCCACAGCTATATATTGTATCTATTGTATCTCAGGTGTTTTTCAAGAAAAATAACTGTGGTTTTTTTAAGGCAGTATGAAAAGTGACTGATTTGGGAACTTTTACAGGCCCAGAACCCTGGAAGGGCTGCAGACTCCCTGGGCTGGCACACACTGATCACAGTCCTGCCTGCTGGCCTAATGATGGAATTAAGATCATTGACTTAATGAGCTTTGGATGAGGTGGGTAACAAAGCATGGCTGGCGTGCAGCACGGGGATATCTGTGGGCTGCTGTCACGTCCTGATCGTACCTGCTGGACTCACCAAGACCAACACCTTAAGAGAATGAGAACTAGAGTGAGACAGTTTCTTCCCACCCCCTCCTACTTTTCAGCTTAATTACCCTCTGCAACGAGTTTTTCTGTTTCCTCATACAACCAGGTCCTCTTTTGCTGAAAAAAGACTTTGTATAAAATTAGGGAAACCCCAGTAGTTTCTGCTGGCTGCAGGTTTCTTAAGGTCTGCTGTGTACAATTCAGACTCCACTATAGATTTCATTATTTTTAATTAATATGTATTTAAATAAAGCATGTCCTACTTTGTAAACACTGTGTCAAGCCAGTTCAACTTTGCTCAGCTGGGTGCACAAGGAGCCCAAGACACAGCTCCCTAACAGTGTTCTGTGGGGCAGGAACACCCCAAATAACCATCGCCCAGCCGAGTCCTCCTTCCTCCTGCTCAAACCTGGCGTCATAAAAACAAAATCTACTAAAACCAGCACATTTTTTCATCTCTTCACATCTAAATTTCTCCCAGGTCAGCCTCTTCAGTGTACAAATCCTGTCCTTTTGCACTGCTCAGGGATGACAGGCCCTGCAGAACGAGTACAACATATGGTATGTAGGGCAGGATGCAGGCACAGGCAGATTATATCACCTCCCCACGCTTCCGTGTGTGGAAAAGGGGTGGAAGAAAGGCAGGAACTTCATTCAAACATCCTGAAACTCTCAGAGCCATATAAACACTCAGACTTGCTCTAAGCAATGGCTTTTGTGAGAAGAGCAACTTGACTTTAAAGTGTCTACAAGAGAACAGTTCAAATTGTTCGCTGAATCCTGGCCACCTCCGTTCCCCTTGAGCACAAGCGGGTTAGTTCATCTGTTAGGGGCTTTTTTGGCAGCTGAGCAGAATATGAGGGCAAGCCCCTTCTTTTGCATCCCATCTTATACTCATCCCCACCTAGGGCAGTGCTCCAGATGTAAAAAGACAAAGGAAGACAACACGCAGGTTAAACCTTAGCATGGAGGGAAACTATGCCTCTGCAACAATGCTACTGGCTATTACCTCAAAGAAGGCTTTATAGTACAAGGCACTCAAATAATTTGGGATTCTTAAATGAACAAACAAACTCTCACACACAAACTCTTCAAAACCCAACCATGTCCATTTGCCAGCCGGAATGGAGAAAAGGTGTAGAGGAGATCAAAGCAGATGGAGAATTAAAATGTTACTAAGAAGAATAAAATAGCCTTTTGATTTCTGCCACACCATCCCGATCAACAGTGTTAAAACACCTCAAAAGCAGACAATTGCCTGAATATACTATATAGATGGAGTGAACTTCTGGTTATAAACACGTGGTTTTCACTGGGTTATTTACATTCTCATTTAGGTCAAAGAGGGGATGAAAGGAGCTGAAAGTAGCTGGAGATGAGGAGATGTTATTGCCTGACAGGCTGACATCCTTAGCCTGACAGTGTTATTGTTGGTGTGAGGCTGGAGTTAATAGCTGAGGCATTCAGATATAACAACAGACCTAAAGTAGCTTTATTCTGAAAGTTACCACTTTGGTATGTTTCACTTATTTACAATAGAAAGTATTTAAACAATTATTCTTCCAAGTTTTTGTTTATCTCAGAATCCAATTACCTTATTTTACAATGTTTACCTTGTTCCTGTCATTGCTTGAGAAACCTGAGCAAATATAAGCATGGAATTATCGAGAAGAGTGAATGTTGCTGTATATAAACAGGTTTCCAACTTGCCACACCAATCAAAATTGTAACAGAAGGGCTAATTTCTACTGGTGCTACTTTCAGAAGGATAACTATAGTAGGGATTTAAATATGATTTTTAGGAATTGTTTTTTCTTAGAAGACGGGATCCTTTACCAAAGACTTCCACTCAATGGATAACTAGCACCCAGTTTTTTAGAGAGTTTCTGTCAAATAACTCAAAAGAAACAAGAAAAACACTCCAAATCCCAGGGCACGGCAGTAAACCACCTCTGTCCTGACCTGGCACCCAGTTCCATTCCTGGCCTTCTCTTCAGTCACAACTTATTTCTCAATTCTGCAAGGGTAATACCTTCTTAAATGATCTAACGAGACCATGAAACACCAGCTGCCCAACAGCCAATTCCCACCCCCAGTTCAAAACTATGCCTGTAACGCAGGTGTGCCAAGGAGTCTGGATCCTCAGCCTGCTCCTCCACCCCCCCCCCCTTGCTCAACTGCTGAGGAGATGAAGCATTTCAGAGCCGTGGACAGCACGAACGCTGGTGCTTTGGAGTGCAAAGTACAGGGAGTCTGGTCTTTGAAACCCCCATCCCTAAATATCGAGGTTAAACATTCATAGCACTGGACATGTCTCCACAGTCAAGGAGCTGGGCTCCTCTTCGCCCTCCAAGTTCCCCGCCGGCGAGGACCGCAGGGACACAAATCATGTCACCCCTGGAGGCTCACGAAACTTGGGACACAGCCCTGGAACTGCCGACTTCCAAGAAACCTCCCTCCATTCATTGTACCGGCAGGCTTGGCAGGGAACGCCTGGTCTCTTTACAAAAGCATCGCCCTGAAAACGGGCGATTCAGAGCGGGTGGCTGGGGGCGAGGAGGGGTGGGGGAGGATGAAGAAAAAAGTGCTTCTCTCCCTCCTTTCCCCTGCCCCGAGCGCTGCGCTCTCACACTCCAACTCACTCTGTCCCCCCGTCCCTCTACTCCCGACTAACGGGATGCGCGGAGCCGGCCCCGGCCCCGGGAGCGGCTCCCCCGCAGCACCGCAGCCGGGTCCGGGTGCGGTCAGCGAGCGGAGCCCGCACCGAACCCCGGACTGTGGGGCCGCAGGTGCTTCCCCCCCGCCCGGAGCCCCCGCCGCGCACCCACCTTGTAGACTTTGCCGAAGGCGCCGTCTCCCAGCTCCCCCACCACCTCCCACACCTCGCCGGGGTCCAGGTCCCGGCGGACGTGCTCGTACTCCTTGGAGCGGCGCTTTTCGAAGGCGGAGAGGCGCAGGATGCGGCGGAAATTGGCGAAAGCCATGCCGGAGCGGGGCTGCCGAGGAGCCGCGAGGAGCTGCCGGCAGCCGCCTCCCGCTCCCGGGGGAGGACGGAGCCGCTGCGCGCCCGGGGAGCGGCGAGGCGGGACCGGGGCCGCCCCCAGCCGCGCACATGGAGCCAGGGCCGCTCCACCTGCTGGGCTGGGCCGGCCGGGACAGAGCCATTGGCCGCCCGCGCCCTCCGCCCGCCCGGCACCGCCCCGACCGGCACGGCTCGGCCCGGGTGCGGCTCAGCACCGCCCGTCTCGGCACAGCTGAGCTCGGGTACGGCCCGGCATGGAACGGCTCTGCTCAGCTCAGCTGGGCCACGGTCCGCCCCGTCGGCCCGGCCCGGCCCGGCTCGGCTCAGCTCAGCTACAGCCCGGCAACGCCCGGCTTGGCTCAGCCGGGGCAGGTCCGCCTAGGCGGGCATGGCTCAGCCGCAGCACGGCTCTACCTGTCCCGTCTCAGCCGGGGCATAGCTCGGCCCGGCCCCGTTCGGCCCGGCCCGGTGCAGTGGGCCATGGCACAGCCCGGCTCGGTTCGGCCGCTCTGCTGAGCGAGGCAGAGGGTCCCCATTCCCCCTCGGCTGCTCACGCCGCTCCATGCAAACACCGGGACAACCGAGCAGGGAAGGACCGAGCGGTCCTCGTCCCCGTGCCCAGCCCGCAGCATCCCCACAGGGCTGCTCTGCCTCGTGGGCTGCACCGCGGGGTCCGAGCAGAGGCACGTCCCCGCATGGAAAATCCTAATCCCGAACTGCCTTGGCAACAGAGGCCCGTTTCCTGCTCCCCCCGGTTCGTCTCCCGGGAAAACAGACAAACACAACTGTTTTCAAAACTCCCAGAAGCGGGAATTTGAGTCTATCCTCACGCCGGGCACCCGCCACACGCTTGTTTTAGGGAAGATGAGACCCAGTTGGTGTCGAGCGGGAAGTTCACATCCTCTCCATGGCGACACTTCAAATCCTCTGGAAAACTGACTTGAAATCCAGTATGGAATGGGGACACCTAGGGGAACGCCCCGGCGGTGCAGCCCCGCTTCCTAGCGGCTCTGTGCTTCCCAAAGCGATCGGGGGAGGGATGGTTGTCCCCGCACACCCCAGAGACACCTGCACCGCCTACACACCGGGTGTGTTTTGCCCCATGTCTTCTTTCTTTTTAAAAGATAGGTTCATACTGGTATGGTCAGCCCTCACGTTTATATTGGGAGTTTCCCAGTACCAATGCTTGAATTTAAAACTCAGTTCCTCCACTACGCTGGTGGTGAGGTCCTGGCACAGGTTGCCCAGAGAAGTTATGGATACCCCATCCCTGGAAGTGTTCAAGGCCAGGTTGGGTGGGGCTTTTAGCAACCTGTTCTAATGAAAGGTGTCCCTGCCCATGGCAGGGGGTTGGAATGAGATGAGCTTTGAGTTCCCTTCCAACACAAACCCTTCTGGGATTTGATTATGATTCTACTATTCCTGGAAATTTGTGGCTGAGAATTGCAACTTTCTTGAAGCCACTTCCATGTCCACCTGTTTCTTCCCTTCTCCCCACTGAGTTGTAGGAAAAACAAACTGAAAATGCAAAATATATCCCTGAAACAGAAAGAAGCTGAAAAATATTGAGCACTTTTTTCCCATCTAATTTCACGGAGTTTGGATTTGATCTAACAGGACATGTGGATTTAGCAGTACTGGAGTAAGAACAGAATAGAATAGAATCAGAGCAGCTACTTTCAGAATTTTGTGCTGTGAGGGGTAATTTCCATGGCACTAATACTGTTTCACTGGTCTTCTACCAGATCTCAGCCAACTGAGATGAAGCTGGATTTTGGGTGTTTTCTGCAGCACCTGTGTGTAGATGAAGCACTGTTTGTTGTCAATAGGAAACATTGCGGCACTGGCAGAGTATTTCCAGCTCATTGATGTTCATTGAAAGAATTACCTCTACAGTAAATATTCCTGAACACGAGATTGGCATTAATGCTCTAAAATTACAGGCCCTGTGTACTGTTTTGAAAAGCGTTACACAGAAAGCTGCATCACTTGGGATTTAAAACCAGAGATCACAGACATTATAAATATTGCACTTCAGATGTTCCAACAACTGCAGCACCCTGTAATACTAATTAACCAGCAGCTTGGTTAATACAAGGGCTTGGCAATTCCCCAGAAAGCTTTCAGACACAGCACGTATCACCGTGCTCCTGGCTGCTCTGGAAGGTGACACAACCTGGCTACTTCTGCATCATCTTCTGAAATATGTGGGGCTCAGGAGACTGTGCTGAGCCACCGAGATGCATTTCAGCTCTCATTGAAGATACTTCTTTCCCCTTCCCCCTTCCATTGCCTCTTTCCCTGTTTGTGAGACAGACAAAGGTCCAAGAGCCTACAAACCGTGTTTGATTTTATGGTATTCCTGTCCCCCGTGTTGCAGCAGTGTGTGAAGCCCCCGGGTGCGGCTCACCAGTGCTGTACAAACACGATAACCAGGTCCTGGCACAGCGAGCAGAAAATCGATGTAGGAAAAACCCCGGCCACTGATGCAGGAGATCCTTACAGCTGTGCAAGCAAGATGCCAGGAACAAGGAGGGCAAGAGGGGATTTCAGACTCACTGAAGCTAATTCCTGAGTACTGCAGCAACCTCTCATGTAATCCTTTCCACAACATGACCGTGCTCCATGTTAGAAAGCAGCTGGGTTTCTTGCCAAGAGTGTTCTCCACATGAGGCCGTTTGCAACCCCTCATCCACACGTTCACCATTTCCCCACCTCATGCCTGCAGTTATTCAGTCTCTTGTCATGTCTTTGCAAGACCCCATGGTGCTCCAGCTCAAATGATCCCTCTTTCCATGGGTTTCCCTCACAGATGTTTAAGGGTAGCAGAATCAGATCAGGCTGCATATTTTTTTTAGCAGCCAGGGGCAGTTTGTCCTCTGTGTTTGCACCTGGGGAAGTTTGACTGAAATTCTGGATCTGGAGGTTTGGCTCTTCCTCTGCACTGGAGAAGATTAAATAGGACTAAAGATAATTGTTACTGGATCATGAATTAAAAGTGACAGCTACAAAAGAAAAATGGGTTCCTGTTTTCATTGTTTCTGGTTTGTTGGAAAAGTCCTTTTTTCCTTCAGGTGTGGTGTAGAAAAGAAGAAGAAGACAGGAAAAGCAGACAGGAAAAGAAGAGAGGCAGACAACAATAAGCACTTTTCTGTTGCCTCTGTGCAGAAATCACATGACTCTCTCATAAATCAGCCCATCTTATTAATACTGTTCTATGAATTCTGAGCACTATCTCGTGTCTGTTCCTGTGTGTTAATTGCCTGTGCAACCTGTCAGGGAGCAGTGGGCATTTAAAATAAAATAAATCCTGCTAATTATTGCTCTCAGCTTTGTGTAGGCGATGCCTGAGAGCTCACTGCTCTCCTGATCTGCAGTTTTATTGCTTTCTCCATGACATGACCGACCTGAATAAGGATCAGATCATGCTGCTGTTCAACTCACTGGACTGAAACGTGAGGGGAGGATTTATATTAATGAGTTCTATGTGGTGCTGTGCATCCTCCTGTCCCACAAACTGCACACCCTGCGGGTCCTGGAGTTGGTACAGGGACACCTACACCATCCAACACCCCATAATGGGAATTGGCTCATTGGAGCTGATCTTTACTCACGGTGTGCAAGGATTGGAGAAGGTCCCTGGGTCTGGATGTGTCTGCAATGCTGCTGCACTGAAGAGGAAAACAGGAAAAAGAGCGGTTGCCCTGTTAGTACCAACCTTGCTCCTCTGGGATAAATCGAACTCTGGACCTGTTGCTGGCTAGGAACCATCTTAACACTCCTCCCAGCTCGTGCTGTCCCTCTTAGCAAGGAGTTAAAAAACGAAGCCCTCAGGTGTGGGGAAGCCCTACCTGAGGGGAAGAGAGCTGAACATCTGTTTTCACCCATTGTTTTTTGCTGGCTGGTTGGTGCAGTGCCAGTGCCCTTCTTCAGCCTGCCCAGTATCACCTACAGCCCCATCTGGGGAGGGGCTGTGCCTTCTCAGGGAAAAGCAGTGAGGATGCCAGGCTACAGTGTGGGAGAGGGGTGGTAGAGCCAGGATTACCCCTGGAGCTCAGCCTTGCTGTTGGACATGACCTGCAGCTCTGCTCTGGATCAGGAGCCTGGCCAAGGGCCAACACTCAGGGCTGCTGCCCAGGGGACTCAGGGAGGAAGGAGAGAAGCCAACCACAGGGCATGTGGGAGGATGGGAAAGGACCTCTTAAAGGAGGACACTGACCTGTTGGAGCGAGTCCAGAGGAGGCCACCAAGATGACTAGAGGGATGGAGAACCTCTCCTGCAAGAAAAGTCAGAGAAGTGGGATTGTTCAGCCTGGAGAAGTTTCAGGGTGACCCAACTGTGGCCTTCCAGTACCTGAAAGGAGCCCAGAAGAAAGATGGAGACTATTTACAAAGGCCTGGATTGACAGGACAAGGGGGAATGGCTTCAAACTGACAGAGAGTAGGTTTAGATTACATATTAGGAAGAAATTCCTTTCTGTGAGGGTGGTAAGGCCCTGGCACAGGTTACCCAGAGAAGCTGTGGCTGCCACATCCCTGGAAGTGTTCAAGGCCAGGTTCGATGGCGCTTGGAGCAACCTGGTCCAGTGGAAGTTGTCTCTGCCCATGGCAGGGGGTGGAACTGGATGATCTTTAAGATCCCTTCCAACCCAGGCCATTCTGTGACTCTGTGACTCTATGAAAGCAGCTTTGCAGCACGGCTGGCTGTCGGTAGCTCTGCCTGAACCCAGCCGGCAGCAGCTGGGAGGCTCCATGGCAGGAAGCACCAGGATTTTGGTATTTCCTGCGGGTGCGACAAGCAGGAGGTCACCTTTATTCTCTGGATGCAAGCACTGGTTGGGATTCCACATATTCTTTCCAAGCAGGAAATCAGTGCTTATCATCTGTTTCTAAATCTTTCTGCCCTGAAACAGAACCATCTCAAAAAGCAGTTCATCCATCAGCACGCAGGACCTGCCTTTCAACTGCTGGACATCGGCATGGACAATATGATTAATTTTGATTGGTTTTAATGAGTTTGGAGCTACAAGGT